TAACCGGAGCCCTCTTATAACACCCAAATATTGAAGTTGCGATAATCTCCAGCCACAGTACACATTATTGTCTGCATGTATCTTTGTTTATGTTTACTTTGACACTTTACTTTGTGTAAATATTGAAGTTGGTTGGTGAGTGGGTTGGGTTCGGTGACAGGTCAGAAAACGGGGACTTCATTAAGTCAGCAGTAGACAGGCATGAACAGCCTTTCATAAAGTCAGCAGTGGTCAAACAAGAACAGCCCATCCTAAAGGTCAGGGTCGAAGGCATATGAAGCCAGGAGTTCAGCTTAGCTGCTATATGTTCCCCGTCTTCAAGTGAATAATTTACTTGTGTTTGCTTGTGTTGGTCGCCAGGACCACGTGGGACAAGGTCCACTCACCCGTTCCTCAACTCCTCTTGTCATCTCTATTTCAAAGCTATTCATATTACTGTCAATATACTCAACTATCAACAGAGACTTCATATGAATATGGAAGGATTTTGCTGCTCTTGTTTATATAGCGGATTTTGTTGACATTTTAAACTGTTGGCTACTTATCCAGATGAATTATATATGTTGTGGAACTGCTTTACACACCACGGTGTTCTCTGAATATGAGGGTAGGATTGTTTAGTCATTAAAGCGTTAGTGACAGCATGCCAAATGGCGCGGTTCCACTCTTGCAACAGTCTCAATGGTCTGCTGGAAAGATTGTCTTTTGGTGGAGCAGAATGTCGATGGATCGTCCTAAAAGATGGTACTGGTCGGTATCATGCTTGTAACTCGAGACATTTTGGTGATAAAACAAGGACTTCTAGTAACCTGTTTGGGGTATCCAAACTTTGGCTTTGTATTTCATTGGGAGACCGATGTTAATGTGACGGTATAATCCTCACCACAAAACCTTCCACCTCCAGCCTGGAGAGATAGTCACGGCCTACGACGGCTTTCGTCATATTCTAGTAACAGACAGTGCAACATCAAATACTAAGGAAACATGACATAACCATTGCAATAAGCAAGTTGAATATCCATAGAACTTGGTTTTCCTTCATCTTTACAACTTCTAAAATGCCTCTCTAAGACGTTATACGCCGTGCACTCATTGCAACAAAAGAAGTTAACTATCCATAGAACCTGTTTTTCCTTCATCTTTTCAACTTCTAAAATGCCTCTTAAAGAAGCCATAACATAATCGTTCATGATTTCGTAACTGCGTTTGGGGTCCGTTTCATTGTGGCTGTAACTAGGGTTGGGAAGGCTGTAACTTGTGGTGGTGTGTGGCCCAGTGCATAGAGCTCAGGTCACAAATCAGTTGAAGATAAACAACGTTGAGCGCGGAGAGTCGTTGGATGGGTGACCGTGTTTGGCAGCTTGACTTCTGGGAGTTTGTTGAACGTTTTGTCCGGTGCAACAATGAAACACATGTTACACATGTGGTGCCACCTTAGGAAAGTGAGTTTGTTCAAAATTGCCTCAGTTCACCCAGCAGAAAATGGGTACCCGGTGGGATAAGTCATGCCATGTGACTATTAACCTTCTAGCGCCTCACAGACTGCTTGTGTTATCCGGGTTAATGATAATCAGAATCTGATTTCAGCGTCCAGCGAACAACTAGACAGATGGATGCTAGGTGCTATATAAATGAATTGTAATTGTTAGTATTATTATAACCACGCGACAGTTACCTAACGTAATTCCAAATATAACATGTGTTAACTTATTGCCGTTCCGTGACTCAGGGGCGACGTCCCGACATAACCCTGCCGTCTGTAAATGGTACTCAGTTCCTCTATTCATTACAAGGTGACTCGGACTGGACAGGACAGGGCAGACTCTTTACCACATGTGAAACGGCAACGATCGAGATTCGAACGTTCTGCTGACTTTGCGACCCGCGCCACCTTGCTAGTGTTGACGGTGTCATTTTTAAAGTGTTCTAGCCTGCTCCGCCCTTGTCACATGTCAAGATACAACATTACTATTCTTTCATGGTTACATCATTACATGGTCCCATGGTCTTGCATCGTAAACGGAGAACTGCAAACCACTCATCCGTTATTTTTAAACTAATACTTTACAGGTCTCATGCATTAATGATTCTGTTACTAACGATTTTCATCTTCTATATTTCTTGATGTAGTACAAAGCGGCAATAGCATCCATTCCATTACGAAATAAAGAAATCAAAAAATGTTCAGTAGGTGACTTGACGGCATTTTGTTGTGACAACTTTTTCTTTCAGCTGGAATTTTTAAACAATACTTTCATGAAGTTTTTATATGATAAATTAGAAATTACATAAATTTATTAGCTTCAGAAATACGTAAGATGATGATTCGTCAGCTGATTTATATTTGTTGCTTATTAGTGTTAATCGAGCTCACTACTTCATGAAACAAGTCTCCATTATGATTATTTAAGCATCATGTCGTCGGGCTGTCCATAGTCGAATATGAATCGGACAGTCCAGATTTTGATATTATGGGCATCGAGTAACCCACTTGAAAACGACGACATGCACTCGTCATGGTCCCCGAGGCAGCGATATGACAGCTGAAATCGATAGCTACATCTGATCTAGGAGCCTCCATGGCTGGACTTATTCTCTGGTCTACTAGTCTGGTGTTGTATGTGCACTTTATGTGTTAACAAATTGTCTTTTGTTACGGTTTAGAAATTACTGAGATTCAAGGCTTGTGTGTCCCCTTTAAACCAGGAAAATTCAACACACACAAGTCTATACTATTCTATTACATACTGAATAAAACAAGGTTACAATGAATGACAATACAGGTTTGAAATACAATACAATTGTGTCACAAATCTATAATATTAACTCACCAAAGTCTTGATAAAATTCTGGTAAACAGATGAAGTCATTGAAGACTGTTGATAGCTGTTGAATGATCAATGTAGACGAGTGGTAGGACTCTTGAGTGGTGAAACGTCGACGTTAGCAGACAGATGAGCGTAAATCCAAGGCAGTAGTAGTCCCCGTCATACATCTCAACAACCGTCCTATTATATACCTATTATACAGTTCTAGACTTTCTAGCAGAAGCCACGCCACGCCACGCCAGAATCATGTAGAAATTACTCACAGCTTCTCACACCTTCTCACACCGTATGGTACTCAGTTCCTCTATTCATTACAAGGTGACTCGGACTGGACAGGACAGGGCAGACTCTTTACCACATGTGAAACGGCAACGATCGAGATTCGAACGTTCTGCTGACTTTGCGACCCGCGCCACCTTGCTAGTGTTGACGGTGTCATTTTTAAAGTGTTCTAGCCTGCTCCGCCCTTGTCACATGTCAAGATACAACATTACTATTCTTTCATGGTTACATCATTACATGGTCCCATGGTCTTGCATCGTAAACGGAGAACTGCAAACCACTCATCCGTTATTTTTAAACTAATACTTTACAGGTCTCATGCATTAATGATTCTGTTACTAACGATTTTCATCTTCTATATTTCTTGATGTAGTACAAAGCGGCAATAGCATCCATTCCATTACGAAATAAAGAAATCAAAAAATGTTCAGTAGGTGACTTGACGGCATTTTGTTGTGACAACTTTTTCTTTCAGCTGGAATTTTTAAACAATACTTTCATGAAGTTTTTATATGATAAATTAGAAATTACATAAATTTATTAGCTTCAGAAATACGTAAGATGATGATTCGTCAGCTGATTTATATTTGTTGCTTATTAGTGTTAATCGAGCTCACTACTTCATGAAACAAGTCTCCATTATGATTATTTAAGCATCATGTCGTCGGGCTGTCCATAGTCGAATATGAATCGGACAGTCCAGATTTTGATATTATGGGCATCGAGTAACCCACTTGAAAACGACGACATGCACTCGTCATGGTCCCCGAGGCAGCGATATGACAGCTGAAATCGATAGCTACATCTGATCTAGGAGCCTCCATGGCTGGACTTATTCTCTGGTCTACTAGTCTGGTGTTGTATGTGCACTTTATGTGTTAACAAATTGTCTTTTGTTACGGTTTAGAAATTACTGAGATTCAAGGCTTGTGTGTCCCCTTTAAACCAGGAAAATTCAACACACACAAGTCTATACTATTCTATTACATACTGAATAAAAACAAGGTTACAATGAATGACAATACAGGTTTGAAATACAATACAATTGTGTCACAAATCTATAATATTAACTCACCAAAGTCTTGATAAAATTCTGGTAAACAGATGAAGTCATTGAAGACTGTTGATAGCTGTTGAATGATCAATGTAGACGAGTGGTAGGACTCTTGAGTGGTGAAACGTCGACGTTAGCAGACAGATGAGCGTAAATCCAAGGCAGTAGTAGTCCCCGTCATACATCTCAACAACCGTCCTATTATATACCTATTATACAGTTCTAGACTTTCTAGCAGAAGCCACGCCACGCCACGCCAGAATCATGTAGAAATTACTCACAGCTTCTCACACCTTCTCACACCTTCCACAATCCGACCGGAAGCAAAGCAAACAAAAGGCAGGTAAGTCGCAAGCCCACTCTCAACAGGTGAAAACACACAGCCAAAGTCCAAGGTGCGAGTTCAAACCCACACTGAGCGTTTTAAACTTCTGTGACCCAAAATAACTAAAAGTTAATTAATGTGACATTATTAACTAAAACACATCCTCATAGCACTTTCCTTTTCAACAAAAAATTAACGAAGGTACATTGGATATGGATTAGTTACGGAAACAATTTTCAAGTCTACACATTGCAAGTAAAATGGTACTTTCACAACATTGATCTACGACAGGTGTTTATGAGACAGGAGTTTGGATGCCATGACGTATATAATTATAATTTTTATCAGTTTGAAATTTCAGTGGCATATCCCTTTAAGGGAATGTCTTTGGTTGGACATACAAGATCCCATGATAAACAACACAGTCGTGTTTAATTTGAAACTGAACACACATGACGTACCTCTTAGACAGAGGGAGCTGGCCTTATTTTGCATATCTTAGAGTGCATACAGCAAAGTTGACGATTGCGGGGACCAGACGGTATGGAACGTGGTGAACTAAAGGTGTGAAGTGTATTGATTTAGACGTAAGGAGTGTGGAGATCTAAAGGTAAGGAGGTCTGTATGCGAGGAGTTTGTTGATTAAGATGTAAGGAGTGGGGAGATCTAAAGGTAAAGAGGGCTGATATCTATAGGCGAGGAGTGTGTTGATTAAGATGTATGGAGTGGGGAGATCTAACGGGTAAGGAGGGCTGAGGTCTGTAGGCCAGGAGTATGGAGGTTAAGATGTAAGGAGTGGGGATCTAGAGATAAGGAGGGCTGACATCTATACATCAAAAGGGCTGAGATCTGTAGGCGAGGAGTATGGAGATTAAAATGTAAGGACAAAGTAAGGGTATGGAGCTCTTTAGTTAAGGGGGTGTGGAGATCTATGCGTGAGGAAAAGGACAATCCAAGTATAGTTTGTACAAACTACGGTGTATCTGGAAACAACCCCAACATGGTCCGAGGTCCGGGGTCCGGGGCTCTATATCAGGGTCAGTCAAGAAACCGGAACCACTTCAGTCCATCACTTAGCAATGCTGAAATGTGAAAATGTAGAAAGGTGATTAAAGACGTTTCCTCTACGTATATGTACAATGTTTATTTGTCATAAAAACAAATGTCCGAATTATTGCAACCAGTAATCATTTATTTATTTCTTTACCAACTGATATGCTGATATGCTTTAACAAATGGCTCTGGTCTTATATTGTGCACGGCTGACCCTAGGTGCCGAAATTCGTTGTACAGATTTACGTCCCTTAGCCACGCCAGGAGAATTTGATCGTGGGATCCAATATTGCTGCGCAGTATTACCTTTCTGGGTTTGTCAGTACAACAGTACAAGACCGGTAACGTATTAGATACACATCGCTTTCTTCACTCGTAAAGATGATACGTGATGTAACTGACATGCTGTTCATCGCGGCGTAAACAATCATCACTCACTCACTAACTCAAAGTTTTCCTTGTTTCAAAGAAGGAGCAGTAGACGTGACAACGATGCATACGGACGACATCATCGAGGCCGTCGGAGGCATGTCCTGGTTCCAGATCCTCATAGTTGTGTTCATATTCGGTCCAAAGATATTGACAGCGTGGGGGATGTTGATGATGTCGTTTGCAGGGACAACTCCAGATTGGTGGTGTGTCCCAACCACAGCGTCTTCTGTTGATGAGACCTATTTCAGAAACAACGAAACTTTCAAATTGTGTCCCACCTCGGACAACATCACCTGCCAGATTGTGTTCAGTCAGGATAAAAGCACCATCGTCAGTCAGGTATGTAGACTGGATTCAGTCTCCTGTCATAGTATTGTGTTAAAGTGAAGAATGTATAGTTGGGATATGGGTTACGCCGCAATATGCAATATTCCAGCTAAACGTTTCACTCACTCGCTCAATGTCTAACTCACTCACTCACTCACAAATAGAACTTAGCAAAGGAAATCCGAACTCACTGTGCTACATGACTTTCATCCTACAACTTGTAACGAAACTTTACACATTAGCCACAAATAATGGACACATTTACCGAAACAATACAAACGTCTTTGAGACCTTACCAGGATGAATCAGTCTCCGAAACAGCGCAAACAGGCCACAAACACCAAAGTTATATTCCTATCAAACACACCATCAGTGAATATCCATTCCCTAATAGCAATATCTATATCCAACACGAAACATGGGTGTATGGTTTACTTGAACCAGTAGTTCACGAATGTTCAAGCAGGAGACATTGGTGGATCATGTCAGCTATCATAATGACTGGAAACTGCACCTACAATATATATGATTTCTGTATTTCAGTGGGATTTAACCTGTGATGAAAAAATGCTCAATCCCCTTGTCACATCAATACAAATGGGCGGGGTATTCGTGGGAGCATTTGTTGGTGGACAATTCGCTGACGTCATCGGCCGGAAGTGGACTTACTACGTCTGTCTGGTCCTTCAAGGTGGATTTAATCTGGTTGCAGCGTTCTCTGTTAACTGGCAAATGTTTGCAGCCTTACGTTTTCTAATCGGGGTGATGATTGGCTCTCTCCAGGTGGTAAGCTACCCGTATTTTATGGAGTTTCTCGGTAGGAAATGGCGCCCCCTGGCCTCATCAATACCTATCTGGGTGACAGGTGTCTGTATATTTGCTCTGTCCATCTGGCTGAGACCTGACTGGTCGCATCAACACATCATCGTAGCTGCACTTCATCTGCCCTTCTTCGCGGGATGGTTGTAAGTATCTTAAGTAAAAAGTGAACACTTTTCCATGGCTTCCTTTCAACCCGTCAACCCATGGTTGACTTATCAAACCTTGCAACACCAGTATCCTAAATATGTCAAACGTTTCATACCATACAATCATACCGTTTTTAAATAAACAGTTTAATGTGAGCATATAGCTATTGTTTTACCTATACTGCCTTTAAGACATGCAAGTATGTTTCTACTGCGTAGTCAAAGTCAGCTGAATGCCACACCATTTAAAATCCGGATTATATTAATCTTCATCAATCCATGCTTGTCATCACAGCTGGTCAGGCTTGCCGACTTGGCCGATGCATGACATTGTATCTTAACTGCGCAAATAGATGCTCATGATCACTAGTTGATCTGGCCCAATGACTAATTGGCAAGCACAGAAGATGCGCCTTTAATCTGAACTAGTACAATATGCCACACATGCGTAAGTACGCACACACACGCACATGCATACATGGATACTTGACACATACACAGCCACCTGCACATGCAAACACATATAGTCGTCTTTCTTTAATGCCCTACTTACATATTTATGTAGTGCATTTACAACGCACCAAGTTACTTGTGAGAAGCATCTTAAGGTCAAACAAGGCGTTACAATCTCACGACACACCGATTAGTCTTATTTGCATGCATGCCGCCATAGAAGTGCAATAACTTAGCAATCGACTAATTTCATTTCACCTCCTTACGGTACCATACATACAGACTAAAAAAGCAAACCGAAACATGAATCTCATTAACCAATCTCATTAACCTCATTACGACCTACTTTTCAGCCGATCCAAATTTTCTCGTGTGAAAGAGACACTACAAACAACTGTGGTTACACTAAATTTCAATTCCTTGTTTCATAAGAAAATGGTATTTACAGATTAATTTTAATTTTAAAGCTTACAAAAATCGTATTTCTTTATTGTATGTCGAGGTCTTTGCAGTAACTAAGACGTCACAGACTGCCACTGTTTGAAGAGGTCGTACAATGATTCACAGTTTCGTCATGCTCACTGGTTACACCTGTTATGTGTTCTGTTCGCGTATAAAGTGTATTTTGGTAACGTACAATGTGATTGATATAATATCATTTCCGTACCAGACCGCCAAACTTTTCTAGCGGCCGGGCCTCGTTTTGAGATTTCCAGATTTCCGTTTGTCAGAGCACGCTGTGCGACAAAGCACTCTGCACGACGTGTTTGCAAGGATAAGAAGGAGCGTAGTGTTGCAATATACAAGTGATTATGTATCAAATAATACTGATTAATATTTATATATCCAGTTGAATGAGTTGGTCTCAAAATTCTGGACTCGTTATTGTACTAAGCTGCGCAATAGGACGGAACCCAGTCAGCAGGAAACGTGACTGTTGTGTATTCAATGTTTTGACTTGACCTCTCCACCAGAATCAGCAATGGGTTAAATGTTGTTATGCAATGTTGCACTATAAATTAAGTATTCTAAGTAAATAAGCGATCATGGAAATAAAACGAAACGCCATGAAGTTTTCCCCATCTTTGTCCACCAACGCTGCCAGCTTTGTCCCAGAGAGTCTTCGCTGGCTGGCTGTGAAGGGTCGGACTGAAGACGCTGAGAAGGTTGTGGATCAGATGAGCCGTTACAACAAGAGAGAGAAGCCCGCAAACACACTGCTGCTGCTGAAACAGGTGGCGGAAGAGGAGAAGAAACTGAGAGCGTCTGGCAGCAAGTACACCTACCTGGATATATACAGGCCCTGGAGCATGTGCTGGAAGTCTCTCATCATACAGTTTGTATGGTTAGTAGAGTGAGTGAGTGAGTTGGGTTTGAGGCTCTTTGAAAGTACTCCAATGATATTAGGGACCATATGTAACTTGCATGTGTCACGTCTCTCTTTCGTGTCTATCGGCACGGCTTTGGCGTTGACGAACCTAGAGCGGTAATTTGATATAATTTAGGATTAGATTCCATGGTGGGCGCATCCTGCCGTAACAAAGGGATACGACTTCTTGATCCTCAAGTTTAATAGAGCATTAAAGTTTTCTGATTTCTCAACACAAGTATCACTGTTCAGTGACAGAATTTAAAAGTCTACTTTGGTAGTCGTCATTGACAAAAACAGTTATTACAGGGGATATCAAATATTGTCTTTCAGGGCGGGTATGTCCCTGGTGTACTATGGGATATCGTTCGGCGCAGGAAGACTCTCGGGGAACCTGTACCTGAACATCTTTCTACTGGCCGTGGTGGAGGTGCCAACCAGTGTATTGACTTTCTTCACAAACAACAAGTAATATCATAGCTCGCATGTTATATAACGCTACTTTCATTAGTATTCTGCTATATGGCAAGTGCATCGACTTTGGCCCATGAGTGAGTGAGTTTAGTTTCATACCGCGTTTCCAGCAATATCACGGCGGAAACGGGCTTCACACGTTGTAAACCATGTTGGGAATCGAACCCGGGCTTTCGGCGAGACGAGCCAACGCTTTAACCACTCGGCTACCCAACCGTTCATTGGATTAGATGACAATAGTATATTATAAGCATTGGTCCACACCGTGGTGGTGCGATGACACCCTCGTCACTAAGTCAAGCAGCGTCACCCCTGGAGTCATTCAGCCGCCCGTAAAACAATTTATACTAAAACTGTCTCCCCACTCGCAATTTCACATGATAAACCTTTTTTTATCAAAGAGGATAAAATTACCTTCGTTCATACATCTGATGTAGTGTGAAGGGGATGTACATTTTAATGTTGTCATATAGCTATCAGAAGAATAGCATTGCTACATGTTGTTGAATTGTAATTAGTTCAGCTTATGGACAAGGCCGCTTGAAACAAAGGTGAGGTTAGGTGAAATTGGGTTTAACGTCGTGCTTGAGAATATTTCGCTCATATGACGACGTGCATGCGTGTGTATGTGTATGTGCGGCTGCTTGTACTAGCCGGCTGCTTGTACTAGCCCAAACTTAAGCTGGTTTTATAGTGCTAGCCCACTGAGATATCATGCCGCAGTGAAGCATGAATACCCCACTCAGACACTTTATACTGACTCCGAGCCGACCAGTCCTTATTGTACCCATTAATGCCGAGCGCCAGACAGGGACCAACAAGTACCATATTTTAACGTCTTTTGGTATGACGCGGTCGGGGATCGAACCCGCGACCTTCCACTCTCCGGGCTTGAAACAAAAGGTTGATTTCGTAGAACAATGCTAAGCGGTCAAAGGTTTTGCACACCACCATATATCGTCTAGAATTGTAAATGAATTAAAAGCGATCAGTGCATGGAGTTTACAATGCATTCGGATAACGTGTTCGAGGTTAAAAGATCATATCTCAGTAATCTAAATTGCTTCCTCGAAACTGATGGCTGTTTCACTTACGGACAACAGAATGCTGATCGAGATAAAAATAGAAATTACTGAATAATATTCTCTGAAAAATAATACCCTTAGTTAGGGTTAGGGTTAGGGATGAAAAAGCTGTCGGCCATAAGTACCTGTAGAAAACAAAAGCTGTGGGTCTGAGTGGTTTTCAGTCGGCTTCAGGCCTAAGGACCGACGTTAATTTCCAACTCCGGTTCATACCTGACAAATCACCAGTAAAACTACGGATTTTGTTTACTCACGTCCCTCAAATTCAACCAACTGACGATGTAATAATCTCTAATGATTTCATTGCCATTTACCGTCGTGCATATTCAGCATGAGAAACATATGAGAATGGTTGTATCGTGTCAGAGGCACGAATGGCAACTTGCTTCCGTTTGACACGCCAGAATCCAGGATATTGGGTTCGAATCCCTAATGTGTCTAGGTTTGTCAGGACCACATCCGTGAGTTTCACCAAAATGGTGAACGTCGGCATCATATTGTGTTTTCTCCCACATTAAGGCAACACCATGCTATAGCTAGAAAACTCTCCCACATTAAGGCAACACCATGCTATAGCTAGAAAACTCTCCCACATTAAGGTAACACCATGCTATAGCTAGAAAACTCTCCCACATTAAGGTAACACCATGCTATAGCTAGAAAACTCTCCCACATTAAGGTAACACCATGCTATAGCTAGAAAACTCTCCCACATTAAGGTAACACCATGCTATAGCTAGGAAACTCTCCCACATTAAGGAAACACCATGCTATAGCTAGAAAACTCTCCCACATTAAGGTAATACCATGCTATAGCTGGAAAACTCTCCCACATTAAGGTAACACCATGCTATAGCTAGAAAACTCTCCCACATTAAGGTAACACCATGCTATAGCTAGGAAACTCTCCCACATTAAGGTAACACCATGCTATAGCTAGGAAACTCTCCCACTTTAAGGAAACACCATGCTATAGCTAGAAAACTCTCCCACATTAAGGTAACACCATGCTATAGCTAGAAAACTCTCCCACATTAAGGTAACACCATGCTATAGCTAGAAAACTCTCCCACATTAAGGTAACACCATGCTATAGCTAGAAAACTCTCCCACATTAAGGTAACACCATGCTATAGCTAGAAAACTCTCCAAATGGGTTATTGGCCAAACTCACTCGTATCTTGTGTCGGCAGATTGACATTGATTTCGAAGTTCCTTCAGTCCCAATCAATACTTTGAAACACCAAAATTAAGGGTTTTCTAGAATACATTAGGTGTCATTTTCTAATTGATGTTGACAATTACTACATCATAATATTGATATTAAATATAACAGTTCTAGGTTACAAAGGCGATTTTAGCTTTCACGGTTCGATCAGCAACCATTTTATTGAAGTGAAGTGTGGTATACAACATATTTATTCTCGGCATTTATTACGTATGAGAATCATTACGGCGTCCACTTGAGGCTGAGTTCTCCCCAACTGCAAATGCAAAACGTAAACGCCAGAAAACGTCCAGTCTAGATTATTCACAAAGACGGAGAGGCATAATGGTCGCCAAAAGTACAGTCACTCGAAGAGATAATTGAAAATCAGCGATGATAATGGGTTTAGCATGTCGTCCTCCACACACCTACAGTTTCACAGGAGGATGAACTATTTCTGAAACTGTCCTGAGTTCAATACCCTTCCAGCACTTTCTGATTCAAATCAGTACGGCAGTACAGATGTACTCCTTCATTGCGCTTGACGTAACCCATTCTTGTGTATTTCGTAATGAATCCAGTTCAAGTATGTACAGAAAATATTCACAAGTTGACCGCGTGTTAGGTTAACCCCATTTCGCTAGACGTGTTAGATAATGTCGATACGGCGTTACGTTATAACCCTTTCAGTGATTAACCTCCATGCTTACATTTGCAGATTTGGTAGAAAGTGGACAGCGGTCGCGTTCTTTGGTATTGCAGCTGCAGGTGCCTTTGGAGTTGCAGTCATTACGAAAACAGGTGGGTGTTTGTAACGACAAAGCTCATTTGTATTTCTTCTTGCGTATGGTATGAATGTTAGTGCATGTCAAGCTGATACCTTTCAGTCAGTCATGATCATCAATCTACACAATTGGGATACGATGACATGTGTCAACCAAGTCGGCGAGCCACAAGTCCCGACCACCCGTTAGTCTCCTCTTACGACAAGCATTGGTTGCTGAAGGCCACTTCTTAGACGGATCTATCACGGATGTTTGATTTGGAAGTGATATTAACATGATCGGTACTGTGAATGTAACGTAGTGTTCTAGTTGCGGTACCAACTTGATTTAATGCAGTAAATATGTTGTAGTGTCGGAAGACGAACAAGGAACCATCATCAACGTCTTGGCTCTGTTGACCAAACTTGGAGTTGGTGCTGCTTGGTGTGCCCACGGTGTACTGGCGAGTGAGACGTACCCCACTGTCATAAGGTACAGTACACTTAAGGATTCACAACAGTGTGTGTTCACTGGCTGGATAGTGAGACGTAACCCACTGTCATAAGATATAGTACATATAGTGATTCACTCCAGTGTGTGTTCACTGGCTGAATAGTGAGACGTACCCCATTGTCATAAGATATAGTACACATAGTGATTCACTCCAGTGTGTGTTCACTGGCGGGATAGTAAGACGTAACCCACTGTCATAAGATATAGTACATATAGTGATTCACTCCAGTGTGTGTTCACTGGCTGGATAGTGAGACGTGCCCCACTGTCATAAGATATAGTACATATAGTGATTCACTCCAGTGTGTGTTCACTGGTTGTATAGTGAGACGTGCCCCACTGTCATAAGATATAGTACATATAGTGATTCACTCCAGTGTGTGTTCACTGGCTGCAAGATGGGACATATTGGACTTTCAAGTGGTCAGCAAGATCTTTGCCCACACATGCAATCGTCGTGATTTCTCAAAATGTTGTAGTCTTTTTGACTAAGTTGTTTTCATTTTCTACAGAAACCTTGGTTACGGAGCAGCTAGTACCGCAGCCCGACTTGGGGGCACGATAGCTCCATACGTCTTTGCAATGGTATGTTGATTGTTTGAAGATAAAAACGAAGTCATTTGACAGTTATCTTTAGACTATTCCCTGGCCCAGATTGTCGGATATTCTTATCAGCTGTGTCAAATTATCTTTTCCTCGAGCATTGGAATGGCGTAAATCCCTGTCGCTCGCTTCCCAATCAGTTGTGATCGGTACTTAACAACGTGAGTTTGGTAACATTTAACACAAATATGCGTAGAAGTGTTTTGTCGCTTCGATTTCCACGATGCTGTGATTTTGTTTACAGGTTCCTCAGCATGCCTGACACCAGCGTATGACTAGGCTGCAGACTAAATATAATCATAAACAGCAGTATCGATAATATGATTATACTCTTCAGTGTATTCTCGGAAATAACTAAAAAATGGCAAAACTGTTTTTTTGTGTTCTGATACTTTGTAGTGATACTTACACTTCATTCTGCTCCTTTATTTTGAAAAGTATATAAACAAAACAGTATTGATATGTAGTACATACTATTATGCAGGATTAAATCCGCTTTGTCACTTCTAGACAGTTCTCCACTTACAGCCCATGAGACACAATATAGCTACATTGGTGTCAGGAATGCAGTATACCAACCATAGTGTCTCACGCCAAGGATGAAACCTTCAAGGACTATTGATGTTAATTCTTTGATCGACATTCTAGAAGTTGGTGAGTCAAAAATGAAGCATACAACTTATGGATGACAGCTTCTTGTTTATTGCACAGAGCGACGTTTCGATGTAGATTCAAGCTAAAAATGACTACAACCAAATGGTGAGAAGCATATATACATGGTATGTTATGACAACATTTAACAGCAGCATGTAAATGAATAGCAATTGGTAATTTTTAGAAGAGACCAGTTGTTATATATTTGGTTGTAGTCACGTTTAGCTTGATAAAGATGTAAGAATCTACATCGACCTGTCACCTTATGCAATAAAGAAGAAGTTGTCATCCATAAAACTGTATGTTTCAGTTTGGATTATTGGTGTTTTGACATAACATTTCATTTCAACAGGGAGGTGATGACCTCGTGGTACCTTTCGTCATCGTTGGCTCGATAATGACCGCCTGTGGAGTGTTAACTGTTGTCCTGAAGGACACGAATGGGCAGCCCATGGCCGATACAATGAAGGGTCAGGAGAACACGTGGGACGATGCGATGATGGCGGCGACTCCAATGGTCACGGAGAAAACGAAGTTTTGACCAGTGTGTTTGGAATGAATTAGTCAGGCAGTTGTAGACCGAGGGGTCTTTGAGGTGTCAATAACTAGGATAAACATTTTAGTGTCATAAGGATCTGTGGTACAAGGATTGTAGTGTCTATAGCCATTAATGGCACGAGGATGTTACTGCCTGTATCCATTGATTGCACGAAGACTGGAGTGTCTGTATCAACTAGTGGTCATTGGTGTCTATATCTGTTCGTAACAATATTTCTTGTAAAGGTTTATGACCAATAATAAAAGATATGTCATTGTATGACTGCGTGATGACAATATGGTTATAAAACTACTTATGATCTAAAGAATGAAGTACTTCATCGTAACAAACCACATGCGGAGTGTTTGTCAATATATTGTCTATAAACGTTAATACTTCCAGTATCTGGTATACAGGTTTGGCTCGTTGCTTGATGTCCTTTGCACCTCGGTAACTGTACTGACAACAGTGTATTATTCTATAAATCCAAAAGAGCAATTTCTTAAGAGACATCCTTTGTAACATGCATGAAGCAATATGTAATATTTTGCATGATTTGGCATTTTCAAATATGTCGTATGTAGAGTCATCACGACTGGGCTAGAACTACCTGAAGTTCGAGGTATTAGCAAATAGCATTGCTCAGATTTGACACTTCATTTCTTTCTGCTACCAACCGTAACTGTATTATGCTTTACACATATATTTTGTCTGCACGCTACCATACCTGTAAATGTAACATGCGAATATAATATGATTTATTACTCGCCCGTGTAAGATACTGCAGTGTAATATTTTTACGGCAGTATTTTATACATATGTAATTTTATGTTACAGTAGCGTTTGATACCTCCCGTGGAGTGAATTTGCCACTGACTGACTGTATATGTCTTGTAACAGTGGAGTGTTCGTTACCCAGGATATACAAGATCTGCTGCTACTAATGTTTGCCGATGACATCGTTCTTTTTGCCACTAGTGTTATTGGTCTTCAACGACAACTAAGGCTCCTGGAGACATTCTGTTTAAATTGGGGACTGGAGTTGAATTTAAGAAAGTCAAATATCATCGTTTTCGAAATGGTGGAATTCTGGCGGAATCGGATAAATTGTTCTTCGGTAATCAGCCTATGGAGGTTGTAACTTACTATAAATATCTTGGTATCGTGTTTTCATCAAGATAAATATGGACAAAGGCGTGTGAAACTCTTGCACAACAAGCAAACAAAGCCTGTCTTTCAGTGTTTAGAATCTTAAAGAAAAACCAGGAAATTACATACTCTACGGCACGGATTATTTTTGATAGGAAGATATCACCAATACTACTCTACGGAGCTGAAATTTGGGGACACAAATATTCAGATTCAATTGAAAGGATTCAAATGACGTATTTTAAAAGATTTCTCAAAATTGGAAAAATTGCTTCTAACAAGGCTATCCTCGGTGAACTTGGACGTTATCCAATGTATGTTTTCAGCCAGATCAAAGCAATTAAGTTTTGGTTTAAACTGTTACACATGAATCAACAACGTTATCCCATACAGTGTTATAAGATGCTTAAAACTTTTGACGATATGGGCAAAATTAATTGGGTGTCAAGTGTGAGATCTATTTTATTCAAAACGGATTTTCACATGTATGGTTAAACCAAGGTGTTGGCGATGTGCAGCTATTCATCTTAACCTTCGAACAACGCATCAAAGATATAGCCTACCAGACTTGGCATAATGATATTTGCAGCTCAACGTTTCTCAGCCACTATTCACAATTTAAATATGACCTTCACTTGGAACCGTACATCACTGAATTGAAAAACAAATACTTAATACGTGCGTACTGCAAATTTCGAATTTTCCATAACAATCTGAAGATAAACAAATTTAGATGTAAAAAAGATATCCCCATAACAGGATATTTGTGCACTGTATGTAATGCATTGGAAGTTGAAGACGAGAATCATGTCTTTTTTTAATGTAAATATTACGAATGTTGGCGAGAAAAATATTTGGTACAACTTCGAAAAGTGTATAAAGGTCCACTAACTTTAGAATCTATTTTCAAATCAAGAAACAGCCAGGTAATATATTTCACTGCTTTATTTCTGCATAATGTATTCCAAACAAGAGCTGGATCCATTTGACCACTGTACATCGATTTATACAACTGTATAACTGTATTATAGGCCACTAGGCCGATATTACGCAAATAAACTGTCTGTCTGTCTGGAGTGTGAGTTTAGTTTTACGCCGCGTTTAGCAATATTCCAGCAATATCACGGCGGGGGACACCAAAATGGACTTCACACATTGTACCAATGTGGGGAATTGAACCCGGGTCTTCGGTGTGACGAGCGAACGCTTTAACCACTAGGCTACCCTACTGTCCCTGATTGGCTTCAGGAATGTAGTTTCACGCCAGGGAGGAAACCATTAACTATTAGTGTTTTGATATAACATAAAACCACAGAAGATGAACATCGACAGGGCCACGGTGGCCTCCTGCCTTTCGTCAGACGGCGAACGCCAGAAATTGGCTCAACACACTGTAGCCATACTGGGGAATCGAAAGCGGAGCTTCGGCTTAATAAGCGAACGCATTATTACCACAATGCTACATCCTCCCCTCTAGCCAGGAAAGCAGGAGACCTGTGTCATGACGCTATTAAACAATAGGATACCATGACAACATAATGCACATTGAAATGTCTTTCAGTACCGGGAGTTAGCAGTCTAAGTAAACTTAGGCTCAGTATTATTCGTTACACTGCTATACTGAGTCTAACAAAACCTTATGGAAGGTCGCGTCAGGTAACCTTTTCAATTGACCAATCAGAACACAGCTTACCAAATCGCGAAAGTTGACATTCGCACATACCTTTTGAACTTTTACCTCGAAAAAGGTTTTTTCCCGAACGATTCCGAATGCTATTTTCCGTACGATCGCTTCCGAGTGATGCATATGGAGCACGCCACAACAGTGAGTAAACAGTCGCAGAAAATAGCGTTTTGTCAGTATTCAAGTGTGTCAGCTTGCGGAAATATTAACTAATGATAACCATGTCAACAGAAACCCAATAGCGTATATTCTGCAGGTCACATATCTGTGTTTTATGCGGGTTTTCATTTGTTGTGAGATCAGTGTTGGTGACCGGGGAAGAGAAAATCCATTTTGTAAGTCCCGCCGAACCCTTAATAGTAGCCGTTGTCTGTTCGGCCGTCTCGCGTTTGATTAGACGGTCATAGGTCGCTCAAAGGTTACTTGACGCGACCTTCCACAAGGTTTTGTTAGACTCAGTATAGCAGTGTAACGAATAATACTGAGCCTAAGTTTACTTAGACTGGGGCGTTAGTGAATGTGAGTCGCGATGGAGAGGGTTAGGGTGACTTGACCTCTTAACAACGTAACACCAGCTGCTTATTCTCGACATGGGAATGTATTACGGACGATTGAATGTCGTCTTACATGTTTTTGTGCAGCGTGTTATCCTGCCTGTATGTGTACAGTGTGTTGTTTTGCATGTTTCTACGCAGTGTGTTTGCGTAAGCTTAAGGGTGTTAGTTTAACGCCATGCAAATTTCAATCACTGTTTAAACACTGTGCAGACAATCACGCATGCAGTCACAAATGTGTGTGTGCGCGCGCGCGCGCACGCCCGCACGCACACACACACACACACACATATACATACATACATACATACATACATACATACATACATACATACATACATACATACATACATACATACATACATACATACATACATACATACATACATACATTAAAAGAAACCCTTAAAAACTACCTGTCACAGGGTCAAGGTGTCTTCTTGCTATGTCATCGTTTGTACATTTACAAAACCTGACACTTGTGAAGTACGAGTTGTGAAGCATATATAACTGCGCAAGCCCCTAACGAAATAAACGAGACCACCTTTATACACCTTAAGGGCATGGCGTTGAAACATAGCCATACATCAAATGGAGGGAAAGAAACATACTCTGAGGTACTGTTGCTCACCTGATAAATTCGAAATGTGAAGTATGTTAAATATCCCTGCGATATGACGGTCTGTGCATAATCGAGTCTGGACCAGATGATTTGGTGACTGATGTTATGAATGAGCATTGGCTAGAATAGTTGTGATGCGTTGACAGGTAACAAAGTCACCAAGACTAGACACTCGAAACCTTTTTTCTGCTTTGACAAGCATATGTTGCTGAAGACGAGACTAAGGAACTCGGATTCAATACTGAGAAAATTAAAGGGGAGTTGACGGCTGTATGCTGCGATGGCCCATCATGCAAGGGTGGAGGGGCTATGTCATGGGGCCGGGCTTGGTCTGTGGAGTGGGTTTGATGACAGTGCACTACGGAACAACGTTGCAGATCAACGTTGTAATACAAGTCAGGTTCATAAATACTGCATTTCTAAAGAAAGAAAAACGGTTTCCGAAGTGTTGTCTAAATGTGAGTGGAGATCGACCAGATTGATATTTCCATAACTATAATATTAATGCATTAACGGAACTCTGAATCCAAATGTCGTGCTGCTAATGATTCATAAATATCAGCTCTTTGTGTCTTGCTTCAAGATTTACCGCAAATAAAAATTTCGCTTTCTGATCATAGTGGTTCTTAAAGACATTTTTAATTTTAATGACACGAACACATCTGACCATTATGTTGATCACAGCATTCTCCTAAAGGTTCCAGCTCACTGATATCGGATAAAGTCAAAATTCAAACGGATAGTCGACCATTTCCTTAGTTCACTTTGACCTTGTTCTCCATGATCTAAACACATGCACATAAGGACTGGCTATCGATCGAAGTAACTTTGAGCGAAAATGTAAAAAAGTCTGAAAAAATGAATATATGTCATATCAATTGTTTTCGAATGGATTACTAACAATACAGCGCCCTGAACATAATTTGGAAGCAAACCACGCATTAAGTCCGCCCTTTGTATATTGTGTGAGAAAATTAATACTTTTTTCTATCACAAAATGTCAGGAAAGATATTATCGATAACATAATGTTCATATTAATAATCATTACTAATTGTTCCTATCAACGATATTTCCGATTATCGATCATTGTAGCCAGCCCTAATACACATACATGTACACACATATATATACACACACATGCATACATACACATTCAAACACATGTACACGCAAAACACTCAAATACAGTCAGACCTACACACACGCATGTACAAACACACACAGTCACACAAACACAGACGCGCGGGCGCATGTATCCTATTCCTTAGATATATCCAGACCCTTTTGGGGGTAACCTCTGCCGCCTCTCTTTTGAAGAACCACTTATTTTGGGGGTGGGGGTGGGGTGGGTAGGGGTTATGAAACAGATTCTCAGCCTGGAATAAGATACGGTTTGAGGTTGTAGTAAGCAAACATACAATATTGACCAAGAGTAACCGAGAACGGGTGAGAAGTCACGTGTGTGCTGAATGGCCACTCTACCCTTACTGTCCTAAACTACAACCCATTGTGTTTGGGAGGACAGGGGTGAGGGGTCAGTAGGACGGAGGGTTTCGGATTGGAGGATGGCAAGGCCTTTACTCCCTTTCCGACCAAACCGAGGCCCCTGACCCGGATGTCTGTGTGTCTTTCCTAAAATATACATATCCGCGTTTACGGGGTTAAAATACAGATAATTAAATAAGTTGAATATTCAAATACCTGAAAACAAAACAGACTAGTTTTCAAAAGAAAGTATTTACCTCAAAACATTACATAAAATTCACAAAAAATAAAAATGAATTAATAAAACCATACTGAGGTATGTCACACACGTACAGATCCATCCTTTCCAGGAACAAACGGCGAATCAAGTTAACTAATCGCATAAACGTCGCAAAAGATTCAAAACGACTTTTCTGATGTGACACGAAATGCACGTGCATACTCACGATATAAAACAACCTACGCGACACGTGAGCAGCACAGTAGTGGAAGGAACACAAAAGATATGCCACGTTTGGAGCAAGACAGAGAGAGAGCTAGCTGTCGGGGTGGTCCAACAAGTAGCTAACCACACTGTCAATGCCAGAACCTCAGGTCTCAAAACGAGACTTTTGGTTATTCATAGCAACCTGAATGCTCGAAGATACAGGGATGAAGTTTTGCGACCAGTTGTGTTGCCATTTATCCAGCATCAACCACGCGACATTGTGTACTAACACGATAGGTGTCGTTCAACAAGACTGACAGACGACATTCTGCACAACGCTAACATCGTTGTTTTGCCGTTGCCAGAATCCGATAGAACACTTATGTGGACCTACCTGGATCGACAAATCAGAAGACTTCCAGCGTCACCTGTCATCGCTCAACAACTGAAACTATGTATCCTACAGAAATGGCAAAGGATCGCGCCTAACGTCATTCGTCGTCTTACGTCATCTTGCGTCGACGTTGTATGGCGTGTATTGAAGCCAATGGTGGTCATACTCACTATTGAAACAACATTTGATGACATTTTCCAGAAAAAAACGCCTTGTTGATTTCTGTAAAAATTCAGACTATGATACCACATGTCTTTCAGTGTCAGTAAAACGGTACTTTCGACACTGTATGAAAATGAAATGGTGTACATTTGCTGTAGAACTGAATTCTCTATTGAAATAGAGTACTAGTTTATATGAATTTCACAGAAACGAAGGGGCGTATTTCCAAGTGATACTGTGTATGCTGTCATGTCTCAGCGACTGATGTGACAAGGGTGATGTAACTGGGTTAAACTCCGCTCTTAACAGAACTCAGGTCATTTCACGGCTTGTCAGCTTACTGTTAGAGGAGGTATGAAGTGACACAGGTGTCATGTGTGTACCGCTTTGTCAGTAACTGTGCCGACGGTTTCACCAAACTTGCAACCACAATCGGAACAAACCCAGCCACAGGATTCACTGATACGCAGATATTAGCCAGATATTAGCCTTTAAACATGAGAATACCACTTTTGTTTCTTATAAGAAAATGGCAGTTACATAATAAGTTTCCTTTCTCTGACACTTTATTATGTGTAATATGGTGCAATATACATACTTCATGACAACGGTTATTTATAAACATAATATCTGCATTATCGTGTGTAAAATGACTCATATGGCTACTTAAACCATTTACTGAAGCCAAAATATTTGAGTCATTTTACAAATTGATTGTAAAAACTGGCCTTTTATTTTATTGTGATAAAGTATTCCAAACATTTTGATGTTCAGATAACTCATCCTGTCACTGAAAATGATAGGATTAAACTAAAACAATGCATTAGTATATTTTGTGATATTTTGGCTTTCAATCAAATTGCGAGCATATTAATTAATCTGTTGTGATGTCCACAGCCCTTGTTAACATCATAACACTTTTTAATCAATTGATTTTCAGGCGATTCCTGAAATAGGCATTTTGTCAAATTGTTAATTGATTTTTCAGTCAATTCCTGAAATAGGCATTTTGTAAATTGTATAAGTTAACCATATTTGGTACATACACGATAACTTATATGAGATTCAGCACAATAACACTTATGAAACCAGCTGAACGATCTAGAGATGGAACGGTGTTGACACAACACACACACTGTTGTGAAGTTGAAAGCTATGTATTTAAAACCAAGGACATCCGAGCCTGGGCTGGGGGCGACAGGAGAACACTGTTATCATTGCACACCGGTCTGGGCCCACTCCACAGCAGGACTGACAACAGGTACGTGAGCTTCATGGGAGAAACCTTTACCTATTAGAGTCTGTCAGTGTCATTTGTGTCCAAATCAATTTTGTCCGAATTTTCTTGCACTTGTAAGCTTTGCGATACATTTGTATTAAATATGCATCTTGTAGAGACATGAGATTGCAGTTCCCTAGCGTGTGTCTAACACAAAACCTCAGGCACATGTATTTTAGCGATCACACGGTCAAGTGATTATGTTGCTCTTGCCCTCATATTTTAGCTTTCGTTACATGAAACAATTCGGATACTTTGCAGAAGACTATGCAACACTGAATATCAGGTAATTTCGTTTTCAAAAATTTGTTACAGTAGTACTTGAGGTAAATTGACAATACCTCCTTTTCCATAAAATTGTAACAGCACTGGCTGCAGGTATCCGGTACTGTCTTACAGAACACTGGTCTTTGTCTCCTGATTTCAAGTTACGTGGGCGTTTTCACGGTGTGTTAGCTTTTAGTGATGCATGAAATGACAGCGAAATGTCTGTTTGAACGGAATGACATTTCAAGGCGTGTACTACGCATTAAGAATATCAAGCTGCCTTAAAAGCTTCGTCTGCTTTAAAAATTGTTTTGTACACAACCTAAAGTTAAATATAAGTTGTTGACGTTATATATCTTCGCAAAGCGTTATAGATGGTGAAATGTACGCAATATAATGAAGCTTGATCTTTGAACGGGGAGGACATTTCATGGTGTTTACTGCATTAAGCAGTGGGTCGTTCTGGATATAAGTAAAGGTTTATGACATTGCGATCGAAAAAGGCATGTTCAAGAGAAAAGAGAACCTTTAGATCACAGTAACGTTTGCGACCCGAGAAGATCCGCGTTAGAATTGGTCTTCAGTAACCCATGCTTGTCGTAAGGGGCGACTTACGGGATCGGGTGGTCAGGCTCGCTGACTTGGTTGACACGTGGCATCGTATACCAATTGCGTAGATGGTTGCTCATGCTGTTGATTACTGGATTGTCTGGTCCAGACCAAATTATTTACAGACCGCCGCCATATAGCTGGAATATTGCTGAGTGCGGCGTTAAATCACAACCAAACAAAGAGAAACGTTCGTCATCGAGAACATTGAAGGTGTATTTCTGATTTTTCTTTTTATATTTTGAAGTTATCCCGTACGCATGGGACTATTGCACGAGTGATTTGCCTGAATACATGGCACCCTTATTGTTTCTTTTTCAACATTGTAGACGCCACGGTAACAACGATGTACACGGACGACATCATCGAGGCCGTCGGAGGCATGTCCTGGTTCCAGATCCTCATGGTTGTGTTCATATTCGGTCCAAAGACGTTGATGGCGTGGGGGATGTTGATGATGTCGTTTGCAGGGACGACTCCAGATTGGTGGTGTGTCCCAACATCTGTGTCCCCTGTTGATGAAACACAATCCATGAACAACGTCACCTTCAAATTGTGTCCCACCTCGGACAACATCACCTGTGGGAAACTGTACAGTCAGGACAAGCACACGATCGTCAGCGAGGTAAGTGACATTGATCCAGGAATGAATGCAACCCGGAATGATGAGACCAGTTACACAATGATAGGGATGCATCCACATTAATGTAGCAGACAAGATAGCAGCCCATATTCGACTGTTACCATGTTGCCATGAAGTGACAGGAACGGGTGGGTCGTGTGTAACAACGCACGACTGTTGTCATGTTGCCCTGAAGTGACAGGAACGGGTATATCTTGTGTAACTACGCACGTCTGTCACGATGTAGCCATGAAATGACAGGAACGGGTAGATCGTGTGTAACAACGCACGACTGTTATCATGTTGCCATGAAGGGACAGCAACGGGTGGATCTTGTTTAACAACGCACGACTGTTATCATGTTGCCCTGAAGTGACAGGAACGGGTAGATCTTGTGTAACTACGCACGTCTGTCACCATGTTGCCATGAAGTGACAGGAACGGGCAGATCTTGTGTAACGTCTGTCACCATCGACAAATGGGTAGGACCATCGAGTCCATGGACAAACAAGGAGCCGGTATTGCTGAGATGTAATACTTTGAAGTTGTCTTTAACTCCTGGTTTTCATACAGCCAAGGTCAGGGGAGTCAGTTCCATCATGATCAGTGACACAAACATCATATTACCTGGGCCTGCACAGTTAACGTTGCCCCTTGAAACCATCTGAAGCAATCTGGCTCGACATAGTCCACAAAAAGCAGAAGCTAACTCAGATGTCCAATGAGGACTGGTGTCATATCACGTGATATAGAGACAAGCTCGATTCGATTGAGAGTTTGTGTTTACGTAAACAATTGTTTTACAAGTGATTATGAAAGTGACAAATGTTCCCGTAGTGCCATCAACGAAAGGTGCGTATCAATACTTCTCTGTTTAAGTTTGTAATTCGTACCATTGGTTATCACAGCAAACTTGCTTAGTCTTTTGTCTCGCACTTCATTGGTCTGTTCTTTTAGACAATCTGCACACTACAAAGCCCCACATTAAAGAGAAAATCAATTACCCACATGAGCGCCAAATGCGAAGCCAATTTCTTGTGTCCAACTGTCGTTATATTGCTGGAATATAGCGGCGTAAAACCATACTCATTCACTCACTTACAAAGAAAAGCGTGTTTTCACCTTGGGCTAGTTTATCAACTCATAACAGTCATCTAATGTCATCACCCTTTCAACAAAGCGAATTGCTTTTTTGCAGTGGGATCTTGTATGTGACCAGGCTATTTTACAATCCGTTATCACATCCGTGCAAATGGCCGGAGTGTTCACCGGGGCATTGATTGGTGGACAATCTGCTGACACCATCGGCCGGAAGTGGACTTACTACATCTGTCTGGTCCTTCAAGGTGGATTGAACCTGGTTGCAGCGTTCTCTGTTAACTGGCAGATGTTTGCAGCCTTACGTTTTCTAATCGGGGTGATGATTGGCTCTCTGCTGGTGGTAAGCTACCCGTATTTTATGGAGTTCGTTGGAAAGAAATGGCGTCCCCTGGCATCATCAATGCCTATCTGGGTGACGGGTGTATGTGCATTTGCTCTGTCCAGCTATCTGAGACCTGACTGGTCGCATCAACACATCGTCGTAGCTGCACTTCATCTGCCCTTCTTCGCGGGATGGTTGTAAGTATAAACAAATCAAACCAAGATATTAGGAACTCACCAAAGTCTTGCATTAGAATTTTAACCATAGTTATTACAAATTTTATGTGGACTGAAAATGTCCACAATGGTGCTGACATGTTTCTGAGAATCACTGCATTAACATATATATTAACTTATATGCGCATCCTGCCCCGGGTTTGGAACCCACCACAAAACCCCTTGAGAATGGTTCTGCATCTTGAAAACCTGACCAAACATCTCAGTAAGAATCGATTGACGGTCTTTGAAATTATCCTACTCTACAGTTATTATCTATGTGGGTGCGAAATCAGTGTCTTTTGGAATTCAACTGCAAATCTAACTTACATATTTAACCTCTTATCTGTCTACTTCCATCAACGCTGCCAGCTTGGAATTCAACTGCAAATCTAACTTACATATTCAACCTTTTATCTGTCTACTTCCATCAACGCTGCCAGCTTTGTCCCAGAGAGTCTTCGCTGGCTGGCTGTGAAGGGTCGGACTGAAGACGCTGAGAAGGTTGTGGATCAGATGAGCCGATACAACAAGAGAGAGAAGCCCGCAAACACACTGCTGCTGCTGAAACAGGTGGCGGAAGAGGAGAAGAAACTGAGGGCGTCTGGCAGCAAGTACACCTACCTGGATGTTTTCAGGCCCTGGAGCATGTGCTGGAAGTCTCTCATCATACAGTTCATTTGGTGAGTACAGAAGTGGAAGTCTATGGAGGAAGAAGCTCCTGTCCTGCATATCCGTTGAATCCGGCTTGTTTTTGTCATGTGAGTTGTGTTGATTATGTTGAGATTGAGCGAGGAATGGGAAGAATACTCTTGGTGCAGAAAGGATGGCAAAAGTTTCAAAAATGTGACGCACTGTTGGTCAATAGACCTCAGAGGTTCCAATTTTATACTGGTTTATTTAGATGAGATTAATCTCACAAAAAGGCGGAGTAGAGTCAACTTGTGATGGCTTCAACATGAGCGTTATGGCCGATGAAGGTAACAGGAAACGAAGTACTGTTAATCTAACTTCAAATGTTACCTGCACATGGTCGAAAAACATTTGATTTATTTTGTCATGATACTTATAAACATACTTTCATTCATTTACAACCTCAAAAACATAAAAAAACATGTATTTTGAGCAAAAGTAAATATTCTCACCCATGCATCAAATCGTGTTTCGCCCATGGGATTTCTTAATAACGCTCTAAAGTCCAAGTGATATCATTATTTGTCATGATACTTATAAACATACCTTTATTCACCTACAACCTCAAAACATTAAACAAAACATGTATTTTGAGCAAAAGTAAATATTCTCGCCCATAGGCGAGATATGTTAATCTCGCTGTAAATTATGATACTTATAAACATACATTCATTCATTTACAACCCATGGGTGAGCGAGTTTAAATTTTGAGTTTTCGAATTTAATTTTTTTTTCCATCTTTTTATATTCATGACAACTGCATGCTTAATTTTGTCAAATCCCTTGTCAGTAAGTGGCCGTAGTGCGTAGAGTTTCTTGACTTTTGTGAGTCCAGAATTAAATTGTGACGTGTTGGTATTATATCTACCAAAATATCATTTTGTGATGTTACAAAATACCACCTGCAAAGATAACTGGTCCGCTAAAGTGAAGCCCTTCTCCCTCTCCATTCCCAGCATAGCCTCAGTCAGTAGTGTTTAGTCACTGATCGGTCCGAATTGGCCCGGACCGTTAACAACTTAAACCAACGCGCATTTTGGGTTGAAATTAACGTGTTTTCCCTAACATTCAGACACCAGAGACTATATTCAACCGATCTTCAATTTTCAATGTCAGCTGTTTGAACGTTAGGTGTCAAAAATCTTGCAATGCGCCTTACGTGACAATAAATTTTATGCAAAATGCTTTGTACATGTTCATTTAGGGTTATTTTTATAACTTTTCAAATGCTAGTAACTTCTATTTCTTTCAGTGTTGTGTTATACACAGTTTCTTTTTTCCGTTAGTATATTTCAATCAGTTATGACCAATGTAATAAAGGGGAGTTACTCTAAAGATTGTTTACTGACACTTTTACTGCTGCTGAGAGATTCTACAAGATGGACATTGTTCTTGCTTTGGTCCAAGGACGAAGTTTGTTGCGAGTCCCACTGGCGGGGCGGGGTGACCTCGACTTTGTTAACTGCTGAACATTAGAGACAAACAGACTGCTCTTCTAACCGGGACTATTGTGGCAATGCTATTCGTTACGGTTCAGTCCCAAGAGCAACAGGAAAAGTGACTCAAACATTACCCAGATCGTATGTCTTTAATGTCTGATGTTTACGTATTACATACACTTGCATACATATTTATAAGTTGGGATAATGTTTAAAGTAAGTGTTTTCTATTCCCCGTCCTCTGTGATTAACTAGGAAACAATTATATACATTAGTATAACTTCACTCAGTCTGCATCCTACTTGTTCTGTGTTTTAAAAATTGATATTGACTGCATGATAGAACGATGTTATATTTACCGCTAGCATGTTCTTAACTACCGTTTTAGATTGTGTTATAATGTTTTAGCTGTTATCCACAAAAGCGCAAATGTGTTTATTTTTTTCCGTGTCACTTTCTCTTTATGATTGTGCATCTGCATTTAGCTCTGTAAAATCGATACACAGGTGTTTTTTCGGTCATTCATCTTTTGTTAGATGAAATGACCAATGTTCATTGTTTCGTCGGCAGGATGTGCATGTCGCTGGTGTACTATGGGATATCATTCGGTGCAGGGAGACTTGCAGGGAATCTCTACCTTAACATCTTCCTACTGTCGGTGGTGGAGGTGCCAGCCACGCTGATGACGTTCTTCCTGACCAACAAGTATGTTTCAAACAGCGGGGCGTGCGATTAAGGGACAACCAAGGCTAACGCCTATAACCGGGGCCACCGACACTGAGGGGTCCAGTCGGGTACCAAGATAGCGTATACCCACATTTGGGGCCCCCAAAACTAATAAAACCATACTTCACAGTGTTCCTCTTGTCCAAATTCGTTGATCTGATTTAGCTGATTCACGATGGTACTTTTAAAATGTTGTTCACTTCGGTAAGCTGAGCTGACAGACTAAGAAACAAGCAGAGCACTGGACTGTTCTCATATGGCCATTTTGACCACTGATAAAATGACACCATTAGTTATCTACTTTTATGTCAGCGTTGTTATTGTGTGTATCTCAAGACAAATTGTTCTTAGTTAACTTGTGTTAAAAATATAATTACCTTGTAAAACCATTTTGCTTAAAGGTCACATGCAACGTAAAAAACAACTTTGCAGATTCTGATACCTTTCGGTATGGACTTACAGATACAAATCATCAAAAATGCAAATTCAAATTATAAAGTTGAAAAATAACGCGATGAAAAAGTGATAATTGTGTTTTAATTATGCTTGATTTTTTGGTTGCATGTGACCTTTAACAATTTTTGCAGGTGGTAATCTCTTATATAGTTAACACAGACACAGCAAACGTGCCGCCCAATTAAAAGGCAGTCAGTATACAAGTTCGCATATGAAACAATTTGGCATAATTGGAACATAGTTTCCGTCGGTTCAAAAGACCAGACCAAAACATGTTGCAAATAAATATCGACGTATGGCCAGGTGTGTGCATTGTGAACATCACCAGCATGTACATTAATCAAGTGTGCACAACAGTAGCAACGTGTGAGATAATTATTTAAGTACTATGCTAATGGTAATTCAAGCGTAAAATTGTTATAATTCACTGGATTTAGACTCAGGTATTTCCGTAGTTCCGGGTTTGCAAGATCGATCTTCACCTTCAATGTGCTGTCACGTTTCTCATTTATATGAAAATAACGAGTCTTTTTCGAGATTTACACTATTTCAATTTCTAACACTTAATAAACCAAAACATATCAGTCAACTCCGCAAGATGAGAAAGTTAGTCAACCATCTAATACATCGTTTGAAAGTTTAAAGTAATATCGAAATAATTAATATGACAAGGCATCCCCATGTGATGTATATCATAGACGTGTACAACAGCAGTGCATATGTAACAGTGTAATATACAGACCACAGGATATAGTTGGTGTGTCGGATATTTGTATGTATATTTGTATCCTTCTGTCTCTCTTGAATAACGTTTTAGTTTATCTGTACAGGATCGGCAGAAGATGGGCGGCTTTTCTGTTCTTTGTTACATCCACTGCGGGCTCCTTTGGTATTTGCATTGTCGCTAAAACAGGTGTGTATCTGATCCTTTCACTCCGATACCATACGTGTCCGCGTGGCTATCCTACGACCCTTCTGAAGCATCAGGTTTACACTACGGGGACTTCGCGCCCGCCCAAGCTAAATTACTGATTTGTAGGTGCATGAAATAGATATAAATCTACTTTGAACGAGTTGGTCTTACGCTCCCTTTTAGAGAGACAATAATTTCACGCTAGTTCAGGCGCAGAAAACAAACAATTATATATCAGTTAACGATCATATTTTACTGATTTTAAAATCACTTTGTACATCAATATTTATGAATGAGATCTATTCTTTTAAAAACCGCAATTTTTAATGAAAATTAACTTGACTACAAGTTCCTTCCTGTTTTAATATTGAAGTATTTCTCCCTTGGGATGTAAAAACTAGAACATGAACTGGTGTTCGTTGCTGTCAGCGCAGTGTATGTTTTTCAGTCGCTGAGGATGAACAAGGAATCATTGTCAACGTCTTGGCTATGGTGGCCAAACTTGGGGTTGGTGCGGCTTGGTGTGTGATGCAGTTGTTGTCAAGTGAGACGTACCCAACTGTCACAAGGTATACTGGACCCAAGCAAGAACATTGTAGCGACTTACCCCACCCTGACAAGTAACAGTATGTCACGATAGCATATCAAAATGTAACAAAGCAATACTGGGATAAAAGTACTATAATGCAACCTATTCATCTCTCACAAGTAACAGTATGTCACGATAGCCTATCAAAATTTAACAAGGCAATGATGGGGTAAAATTACTGTAATGCAACCTATTCATTTCTCACAAGTAACAGTATGTCACGATAGCCTATCAAAATGTTACAAGGCAATGATGGGATAAAAGTACTATAATGCAACTTAATCATGTCCCACAAGTAACAGTATGTCACGATAGCCTATTCAAATGTAACAAAGCAATGATGGGATAAAAGTACTATAATGCAACCTATTCATTTCTCACAAGTAACAGTATGTCACGATAGCCTATCAAAATGTAACAAAGAAATGATCGAATAAAAGTACTATAATGCAACTTAATCATGTCCCACAAGTAACAGTATGTCACGATAGCCTATCAAAATTTAACAAGGCAATGATGGGATAAAAGTACTAAAATGCAACCTATTCATTTCTCACAAGTAACAGTATGTCACGATAGCCTATCAAAATGTAACAAAGAAATGATCGAATAAAAGTACTATAATGCAACTTAATCATGTCCCACAAGTAACAGTATGTCACGATAGCCTATCAAAATTTAACAAGGCAATGATGGGATAAAAGTACTGTAATGCAACCTATTCATTTCTCACAAGAAACAGTATGTCACGATAGCCTATCAAAATATAACAAGGCAATAATGGTATAAAAGTACTATAATGCAACTTATTCATCTCTCACAAGTAAAAGTATGTCACGATAGCTTATCAAAATGTAACAAAGCAATGATGGTGAGAGGAAGACTTGACTCTTGACAGTTACACAAGTTGCACAAGTGCAAGAATGTAAATTGCAGTTATTAATTTAGTACATAGCTTTTACGTTTCTGTTTTATTTGTTGTTTTTTAATTCAGAAATTTGGGCTATGGTGCAGCTAATACAGCAGCTCGCATTGGGGGAATACTTGCTCCATACATATTTGCAACGGTAAGTTCATTGGAGTGAGATATATTAGTTAGTTAATTAATGTGGTGAGATGGGAATGTAGGCATTAATTGAAACGAGTATTTGCTATCAACTTTATGAAAAAGGTGTTGTGTGTTAAGCCGGAGTCAGGGCACATAACGTTTACAGTAATACATTTAGCCATTGAGTGAGTAAGTGAGATTGGTTTTACGCCCGCTTTTAGCAATATTCCAGCAATATCACGGCGGGGGACACCAGAAATGGGCTTCGCACGTTGTACTCATGTGTGGGATCGAACCTGGGTCTTCGGTGTGACGAGCAAACGCTTTAACCACTAGGCTACCCCACCGTCCCCTTAGCCATTGAACTAGAGCTAATTCAAATGCGTTATGTGTTAGCTGTATGTGACACAATGTATTCATAAGGCAAGAGTGGGGATTATGGATGAATGTAGGAAGATATTGGTCAGTTGAGCTATTTCTCGATTTGTTAAAGTGAAAATGGTTAATAATACAAGCTCTGGAAGAAGGATTTCGTGGCATTATGGAAAAGGTGGGGAATCGGTTGACCCTAACTTTCACATGATTCTAATATGATAAAATAATACTGGTAATTTATACAGCACCCGTATCCACGCTCTTGTTCATACTATTACACCTGTAAACCCAAGCTGCATGTAAAGAGTTTGTAGGTTAACAGTCACTTATCCCACCGGGTACCCATTCACTGCTGGGTGAACAGAGGCAGTTATTGAACACACTCACTTTCCTAGGGTGAGACCACATGTGTCACATGTGATTGTACGGCAGTATGGCAGGTGAGACGGGTGTATAATACAATAACGTTGTATGACTTGTTATATCAATGTTCACTTTGTGTATAATTTCATACTTCATCATAATAAATATCACGTCAAACATACGAGCATAAGACCTTTCACCTTCACTAAGGTGTGTCATTACCACAAACGCACACGCAGCTCGAGATCCGTTCCCTATCCTACGTATGAACTGTATTAAAAGAAATGCTACTGCCATGAGTTTTATAGTTTTGGTTTGCTTGGTGGTTAACTGTTTAACGCCGCTTTCAGGAATATTCCAGCTATAAGGCGGCGGTCTGTAATTAATCGAGTCTGGACACGACAATCCAGTGCTCAACAGCAGTTTTATAGAGTGAGAGTTGTGTTGTTGAACTGTTAAATGAATCCTTGATAATTTCTACAGGGAGCAGATGGTGACCTCGTGGTACCTTTCGTCATCGTTGGGTCGACAATGGCCGCCTGTGGAGTGCTATCTCTGGTCCTGAAGGAGACGAGGGGTCAACCCCTGGCTGACTCCATTGGGGGCCAAGTGAACTCCTGTGGGGACGTGGTCTCAGCAGCGGATGTGGAAAAGACCAAGTTGTAACAGTACTGGCTCCTATACATTGAACAACAGCTTATGGACAGAATCATTAGGAAAATATATAGACTTTCAGTACCCAGTACCCCAGGGGACAGCATCGACACGTCATGTACCAGTTCTTGGATGGATTCTGTGACCATAGGCGACAGTGATTGACTCCAGCACAGTACCTGAACCCATCGCCTCCAAAAGCTTGTCTTTAAATGGCATTCAGAAGTGATACACATAAAAGGGGAATTTTCTGGATGCCAGTTTCTGTAAAATGAGGAACATGACGGATAGTGATATGTGTACAAGTGAAAATAACAACAGTGATAAGATGCATGCGTCTGGCTCCTGGCTTCTATTTATCCATTGCCATCACCAATCAGAGCCAATTAGCTACTAGCGTTTCCCTTGTTAAATGTCAACTTTTGTTATTTTATCACTTTTGTGACAAGCGACAAACAGGTTTTATAAAAGCAATATTCAGAGCTATTATCAGGTAGCTTCCATTGGTCAACTTCATGTAACCTCGAAAAGTTTAATCTTTGCATAATAAACCTCTCTATTGTGGAGTGCGGCCTAAAACTAAACTCACTCACTCACTCTCTATTGCTCCAGAAGTAAAGCACCATTGCGGAAGGAGCACGTACAATCTCTAAATCATCATCATCATCATATCATTATCATCAACAACCAGAAGTAGTTTCCACATATTGCTGTACGTTTATCTCCTTTGTCTTCCTCGTTCATTCTTCTTAGGTACTTGACCACACGTTGAAAGTATGAAATGGAGACACTGACGGGCGAAAGAATGATCCTAAACATAAACTTTCTGAAAAGATGACAAAGAATACAAAACAAAATAATTCCACATGATTATGTGGTGTGCGCACAGTAATAACAGATAATTGATGATAATGACAGATAATGAAAATGACAGATAATGATGTGTCGAGTGTTCAGTTATTCCATAGCTCGTGTACTCAACCTTCGTGTCAAATAGGCTGAATCTACACAGATCAGTCGATAAGGCGTATAACCCCCATTGGCACATAGGCATGCACATGAACGTGAGGCTGACGGCTGCTGGAATCCGGCGCTATTCCTCAACCTTGTTGTTTTGCTTGTTTTGTTTTGTTTTTTGTTGTTTAACACCGCAATATTCCAGCTATATGGCGGCGGTCTGTAAATAATCTAGTCTTGACCAGACAATCCAGTGATCAACATCATAAGCATCAATCTACGCAATTGGGATACGATGGCATGCACATGAACGTTAGGCTGACGGCTGCTGGAATTCTTGTGAGTGGATAACTATATATATAGTTACCCGAACTAACAACGTTAAGCTTTTGACGTGAACTACTCCAATCCAGCACCATCCCTCAACCATTGCCTGAGCAGGGCCTTCTCTTGTGAGTCGAGAACTATATAGTTACCCGAACTAACAACGTTAGGGTTCTGACGAGAACTACTGCAATCCAGCACCATCCCTCAACCATTGCCTGAGCAGGGCCTTCTCTTGTGAGTCGAGAACTATATAGTTACCCGAACTAACAACGTTAGGGTTCTGACGAGAACTACTGCAATCCAGCACCATCCCTCAACCATTGCCTGAGCAGGGCCTTCTCTTGTGAGTCGAGAACTATATAGTTACCCGAACTAACAACGTTAGGGTTCTGACGAGAACTACTGCAATCCAGCACCATCCCTCAACCATTGCCTGAGCAGGGCCTTCTCTTGTGAGTCGAGAACTATATAGTTACCCGAACTAACAACGTTAGGGTTCTGATGAGAACTAGTACAATCCAGCACCATCCCTCAACCATTGCCTGAGCAGGGCCTTCTCTTGTGAGTCGAGAACTATATAGTTACCCGAACTAACTGATGAGAACTACTGCAATCCGGGAATCAACTAATGCCTGCACAAAGCGAACTTGTGTAGAACTGCGATCCGGCTGTCCAGAATGGTTCTCAGATGCTTTAGGGGGACATGGTTGAAGGTCAAGTTTAGTAAAAACTCTGGTGACTACAACCAGAGCATGTTGACACATCCATGGCAATGGGTAGCCCCTATCTGTATCGTACCTATGACGTGAGTTAAAAAATAACTTAAGACAGACGTCAGTCAGTTCCTACGAGTTTTGTCTACTTGGTGTGAGTGAGTGTGGTTTTAACGCCTCTTCTAGCAATGTGTCACTACTATCATGATGGAGACACCAGAAACGAGCCTCATTCATTGTACCAATGCAGGGAATCGAATCTGGGTTGTTGGTATGACGAGCGAACCCCTAACCACGGGGCCACAAAACCACGGTTTTATCGTGTTGAATATATGTATGACATACATGTATGGCATGGCACGGAGCCATTGAGTGTTAAAGGAAACATGTTCAACTAACAGATCCTTCTCATCAACGCCATCTTACCCGTGAAGATCCGAGATCGAATTGGTCTTCACCAACCCCTACTTGTCGTAAAAGGCGACTAGCGAGATTGGGTGGTCAGGCTCGCTGACTTGGTTAAAACATGTCATCGTATCCCAATTGCGTAGATTGATGCTTATGATGTTGATCACTGGATTGTCTGGTCCAGACTCGATTATTTACAGACCGCCGCCATATAGCTGGAATATTGCGGTGTTAAACAACAAAAAACAAAACAAAACAAGCAAAACAACAAGGTTGAGGAATAGCGCCGGATTCCAGCAGCCGTCAGCCTCACGTTCATGTGCATGCCTAAGTGCCAATGGAGGTTATACGCCTTATCGGCTGATCTGTGTAGATTCAACCTTTTTGACACGAAGCTTGAGGACACGGGCTATGGAATAACTGAACACTGGACACATCATTATCTGTCATTATCATTATCTGTCATTATCATCAAATATCTCTTAAAGGAAAGGATATTTCTGGAATGTTCATCTTGGAATCTGGCACACATGTCATAAGATAGTGGCCAAACAGTATTATTGAGCTTGACTAACTGTCCGTATTCGTATGTTTACTATTTTAGATGAATTGTGGAACATTGATCTGACGCCTGAATGTATTCATAATGAAATCTGACAAAGGGTTTATTTAATTTTATTACAAATTCATTTTAATCTTTCAGTTCGTAAGCCCCAAAGAGACAGCGGGAAGGTCTCCGACAGGCTATGAATGGCAACTCAGCTTAAATCACATTCGCACTATTACAGCTTCAGATCATACAAAGATATATGAACCTTACACATGGCACTGATTAATATTGAGGATGGCACTCACTGGTGAGAGACCGCCTCCGTGGTGTAGTGGGTACAGCGTCCGCCTGGAGAGCGGAAGGTCGCGGGTTCGATCCCCGGCCGCGTCATTAAAAAAAAACGTTAAAATATGGTACTTGTTGGTCCCTACCCGGCGCTCGACATTAATCGGTACTGGTCGGCTCGGAATCAGTATAATGTGTCTGAGTGGGGTATTCATGCTTCACTGCGGCATGGTATCTCAGTGGGCTAGCACTATAAAACCAGCTTAAGTCTGGGCTAGTACAAGCAGCCGCACATGCACGTCGTCATATGAGCGAAATATTCTAAAGCACGACGTTAAACCCAATTCACCTCACCTCACCTCACTGGTGAGCCTATTTAATCAGGTTATTAGGCACTGGTTATTAGAGAGTGATGTCAAATAATATTTTTTAAAGTAATAGCAGTACAACAATACTTTCACTTACAATTTGTGTATGTAATATTAATGTTCAAGATGATGTCTGGCTAATATATAAAGGGCCTTAATACATGTACGTACTTATCATGAATGTGCCTCATCCATCTACTCCTCCGAAATAGCAGTTTTTGATTATATTTGTTCAAAACTTTACAGATGATATACCATTATAGCTGAAGCATTACAATGTCTTCTTTCCTTAATTTGGTATACTTTACAATAAATACACATTTTCATCAACGATTGTATTGGATGTGAAGGTGTGTACACAATAGTCTACTTGATCAACATCAACAGGTGCTATTTATATGCCACCACAATATATGTTTTCATTGGATTTCGAAGTATTGTGGTTTGTTATAATATTTCATTCTAATACACATCTGTTCAAATAGATTTCAACTCATTAACATCGGGTTTTACTATATACCCGACAGTAATACGTCTTATCCCTCTCAATTGGTAATCTTTAGTTGCAAGTTTTAAACAATAAGGATGGTAGACGTAGGTAAGTAGTCTTATTGTATGAAGCGTACTATAAATGCAAGCGTATACAGACGTCAGCACTGACGGGAGAGGAGTGTTCGTAAAAGTATACTTAATCTACAGCACGGTCGTCAACAAGTACTATATTACTTAATGGTTGTAAAGATACCGATATGTTATTAAGATTGGCAACAGTTCATTGACACCAGGTCTTACTAAAATATTATACTTACTAACTAATAGTAAACTTTGATTTCTTTTTGTAAGAATTACAGATGGCATAAATAGCTTAGATGGGAGACGTCGTGTCATCAGTGTTATGCAGTGCAAGCTTAACTTGAGGAAGCCCCACGTCCCGATTCTTGATCACAATAACAATCACTGGTTGGGATGGTTTGGTAGATTTATCAATGCCAAGAGAAGATAGTTCACTATTTGCCTCAAAGGGCAGACTTTTGACCAATAATATTTATGCATGAGTTGGTCACAGTCATTTAAGGTCCAAGTGATTAAGGCCCGTCTGTTTTAACTGTCTTCTAACAAAACAATAACAATGGTAACAAACTATCACAGCATGATGTCGTCCTTTGATTTGCGCTCTTCTAGGGCAATGGCTTCAACTTCACTTGGGTCCGCAGTGTCATGGAGAGTCTTCGGTGACTTTCTGAAGGTTGTAGAGAGGAATCCACAGACGGTGCAAGAGAGGAACATCACACCTGATGGAACAAGAGGCACAGTGAGTGAGTGAGTGGGTCGGTGGGTGAGTGCGTCGATGGGTGAGTGAGTGAGGGTGTGAGTGGGTGGGTGAGTGAGTGAGTGAGGGTGTGAGTGGGTGAGTGAGTGAGTGCGCCGGTGGCTGGGTGAGTGAGTGAGGGAGTAGGTCGGTGGCTGGGTGAGTGAGTGAGTGAGGGTGTGAGTGGGTGGGTGAGTGAGTGAGTGGGTGGTTGGGTGAGTGGGTCGGTGGGTGAGTGAGTGAGTGAGTGAGGGTGTGAGTGGGTGAGTGAGTGAGTGGGTGTGTAAGTGAGTGAGTAGGTCGGTGGGTGGGTGAGTGAGTGAGGGTGTGAGTGGGTGGGTAAGTGAGTGAGTGGGCCGGTGGGTGAGTGAGTGAGTGAGGGAGGGTGTAAGTGGGTGGGTGAGTGAGTGAGTGTGAGTGTGTGAGTGAACAGTATTCCAGTTCTATCACGGCGTGTCACCGTTATGAATGGTGACATTCCGACATGATGCGGGCGTTTATCAATTTGATGAAAGCATTGTCAGAAAGGTGAGTGAGTGAGTGAATCATTGCAACGGTATCACACGTCACACGAGCCAGACAAATGCAACATTAATAGGGAGGATCATTTAGTTTACTTGGGAGAGGAGTCATTGACCATTTCTTGGATGGTCAGACCTGACTGAGGGACACACACAGGTTACAAAATGTCCTTATATAGGACAAGCGTGGGCAGATTACAAAGTGAAACTCTTGAACAAGAGCTGACAACACGCAATAAAGTCAAAGCCACAAATAGTTATGTTGTGCCCATTCTCTCTCATTCTTTTGGCGTTGTTGATTTTATCAAACAGGAAATGTAGGGCACACGAGTTTATATGCAGTGTGGTGAAAAGCAGAGCGACCATGCACTATACTTCGTTTGGGTTAAGACGGCTGGCCTGAAAAGTGAAACAAAACGTTTTCTGTTTGCTGTTCAGGTCCGGTGTCGTAGCTGTCAGTGTATGATTTGGCATAAAAACGTTAATATGAAATGTAGATTATGTGATGAATGTACCGAGACTGTGCAACACCTTGTCAGTGAATACCCAGTGTCTTCACCAAGTCATCTTAAGTGACCTGAAACCAGTGGCTGGTTCCTTGTATTACCGTCTTTGCCATGCTTGTGGATTTGGCCCAGATGCACAACCCACAATGTGCAGAGGGCGTCATGGTAAATGACCATTAGTTGGGCTACTCCCATATACAGCATCAGACGTGTAAAAGGCAGCACAAATATACTACCCATCAAAAGTTTAGACTCACTTAAAGCAGTCACTATATGTTATGTATAAACATATGGTTACATCGAAGATGTATTTCGCCACTAACTTGGGGAACCAACTGCAGACCTTATGCAGATGAATTGCACGAGGATCATCCATCAAATTGCTGAAAAGCATGTGCACATATCGTACATGTGAACATCTGCGTTAAGTTTTGTTAAGAATTTGCCAATTTTCACCGAGTTTCATCATTTATTGAACTCATGATAATAATCTTTTCAACGTTACGAATTTGTTTTACAATGCATCCTTCAACTTTGAAGCACATGTGGTGTAGGGAACTTCAACACTGGGATAACACTTAGACGTTTTGCTAATTTCACGTATTCTGAAGAATCGACTTACGACTCCTTTGACCTAAGGAATCGTTTTGGGGTTTCGGGACGTTTTCATGGGCGTTAACGTTGTACAACATAATCGTTTCAGGTTTGGGTCAGTTATAGTATGGGGCGGCATCCCAATGACTGGCCGAACTGCGCTCAAAACTTTCCATTGGCAGAGTAACTGGCTATTACTACCGATACAACGCCAGTGCACATCGTGTTGGGTGAGGTGAGGTAAAATTGGGTTTATCGTCGTGCTTTAGAATATTTCGCTCATATGACGACGTGCATGCGTGTGTATGTGTATGTGCGGCTGTTTGTACTAGCCCAGACTTAAGCTGGTTTTATAGTGCTAGCCCACTGAGATACCATGCCGCAGTGAAGCATGAATACCCCACTCAGACACATTGTACTGACTCCGAGCCGACCAGTCCTTGTACCCATTAATGCCGAGCGCCAGGCAGGGACCAAAAAGTACCATATTTTAACGTTTTTTGGTATGACGCGATCGGGGATCGAACCCGCGACCTTCCGCTCTCCGGGCGGACGCTCTAACCACTACAGGGGCCGTGGGGTAGCCCAATGGTTAAAGCGTTGGCTCGTCACGCCGAAGACCCGGGTTCGAATCCCCACATGGGCACAATGAGTGAAGCCCATTTTTGGTGTCCCCCGCCCTGATGTTGCTGTAATATTGCTAAAAGCGGCGTAAAACCAAACTCAGTCAGTCAGTTTGTTGTTTTAAACCACAGTCTAACCACTACACCACGGATGCGGTTACATCGTGTTGGGCAGCACGTCATCTCTTAATATGTATGTACTCATCACATCACATGCCATGCCATGCCATATGCTATGACATGTCTTTGCATGGCCAGCACTCATAACTTTAACCCCACTGAACACGTGACCTTCTCGGTGACCTTTTGTCGCTCTCAGGGACAGAACAACATTGATCTGTACATTGTCGTGTCTGGAACAGACAATCCAGTGAGTGGCATTATCAGCATCGATCTATGCAACTGGGATACGATGACATGTGTCAACCAAGTCAGCGAGCCTGATCACCCGATCCCCTAACGACAAGCATGGGTTGTTGAAGACCAATTCTAACCCGGATCTTCACTGGTCTAACTGGGATTTCTAAACATCACTTCCGGTTTACTCACATGTACCTGATTGACAACAGTTGATCAATCTGAAAAGTTTTAAAACAGTTCAATAGTCTTGGTCTATGGTTTATCTCCACTACACAACGTACCTGCAAATATGTAGACACCATAATATTCCTGGAATATTTTGAAGACATATCCTGGAAGACAGAAAAATGAATGTAATGTATTGGTGCGGACGTTAAGGAATGGTGTATCACGGTTGCTGCTGATGCTAAGCAGCACTCAACAAGTATGTGAAACCACGTCTAATCCCCTACACGAGCTATAAACCAATAGATGTTAGATGTTACAATTGAGATACAATACAAATGAAGTGTTACACCCAAGTAGGTATCGGTCCGTTACATGAAATTAAACCGACTAAGGATTATACTATCGGTTTCACTTATTTGGGTCGTCAGTCCAGATTTGAAAAGGTCATAATGCGACGATGTCGTATTGGCCATTCAAGTTATACTCACAGAATAATCCTCTGTAGCCAGTGCTTACCCCAAGGGCTAACTTCAGAGGATCGAAGTCATTCAAGACATACTCATAGAGTAATCCTTAGAAGCCCGTGCTTACCCCAGGGGCTGACTGTTGAGGATCGAAGTCATTCAAGACATACTCATAGAGTAATCCTCAGAAGCCCGTGCTTACCCCAAGGGCTAACTCCTGAGGATCGAAGTCATTCAAGACATACTCATAGAGTAATCCTCAGAAGCCCTTGCTTACCCCAAGGGCTAACTGTTGAGGATTTCGTTATTAGGCCTGTGTGCTGTACAATAAACTACGAACTCAAAGGTAGCACAAATGTTAGTTCGTTATAATCGTAGTTTGTCATTTCGGTTAACATATACAGTAAGTAGAACAGAAAACCTAGCTCGTTTTATCAGTCAGTTCGTTATAAACGGGTACCTTTTATAGTGCAGTTTACAGTGCAGTTTACAGTACATTGGTGCCTGGGCAGTCAATCAAGTACTGATTTACCGTCAAAATATTCTACCCATGATGTAACTTAAACATGGTTTTAAAACAACTTTTCGTTTGTTATTTATCAAACGATTATAATGTTGTACCTGCTAAAGGCGGGCCAATAAGAAATCCGATACCACAAGAACCCATCAGAGCTCCAAAGCCGGTTGCCATGAGTTCCACTCCAAGAATTTCAAATGTAATTGGATTGAACAGAGCCCAGCTGCTACCAGTGTAGATACCAACAAAGAAGCCATACACACACACTGTCACTGAGGTAGATGTAAATAGGGGGATCAGGAACGATAACACCCCCATAAGGCCGTTCAGGGACGCAAATATCAGTCCACTGCCTACGCCTGGATCTTGTGCTGCAAATCCTGTGAGAAAACGCGACAGTACGCCACCTATGCCGGAAGTAGAGACACTGAAAGATGCTGCTTGAAGAGATATTCCTTGTTTCCTTAAAAAGTCTGGGAGGTACAAATACATGGCCGATGTGCCCATGCCGAATGAACAACCACACAAAAGAAAGAACACAAATGATTTGTTCCTGAAAACCTTGGCATAACCAGAACAATCACCACACAACGCCATCAACAATGTAAGACATGTTGGTCGACCACTGAATATCTTGGCACGGCGTTCCCTTTCGAATCTGGTCGGCTTCATAAGCATCCCAAAAACACACGAATTGAATGCTATTGCTCCAACGATGAGGAAGGCTTGGCGCAGTCCGTACGTATCTATGAGGAACTGGCATAAGGGCGGATGGACAAACACCCCAATGGCCATCCCACACACCGCTATTCCGCACACCAGGCTCATGTTGTGTTTGAAATGGTAACCGAGAACAACTACAGCACTCGTGTGAGACAAGCTGGTTGCGAGTCCTGAAAAAGATAAAGGTTTCACGTCATATACGAAAATTTCTGAAACATATTTTGCAGTGATGAAATATACAGTGAAACACCCAACTTTGATGAGTCGAACCTACGATTGTCTCGAAGTAAGAGCTGAGTGCTTGTCTTTTCCTTCTGAAGACACCAGTTTACGGTTGTATCGAACCTTGAATAACTCGAAGTATTTACGTTCAACTTTGACACAACGGTGTTCGACTGTCTGGTTATGGTTTCAGTTGTCCAGAATTAGAATTAGGTTATGTAGGGGCCCTATTTCGCTTGACTGTGTAGACTGCAGTTATTGTCCGTGTTTGGAATTGAAAATATTTTAATGTTAAAATGTTTTTTTTTAGTGAAACGTGGTCTCGTCGCTGTTAGGCTGAAATGACAGCTATGCAACTCTAAATTCTAACTCACAACTGACTATGTTGGGATGACAATATATGGAATATAGCACCAGCGTTAGCGTTATACAACACCCATTCCCCTTGCTATACCTACCTGCAAGTAGGGCATAGGTTACAAAAAGCCACTTGATGTCGTTTATGAACATATTTGCAGAGAAACCTACAAGGCCTAGTATCCCAGATATGACCACACAGGTGCGACAGTCTGTCATGTTGATGACGAAGCTTGCCACTGGACCTGCGAAAAAAAGGAATATACCAAATTAGAAATAGTCTTAAACATTGCATTTCTCCCTTACTGTGTCATAGTTCTAATACTGATAATATTGAAATTTATCAGTGTATATTGTCTGTCAAATTTCTAATATTTGTTTTATGCCAATGTATTGTTGTAGTAAATATATTACATGAATGGTAGTGAGAGTCTGGAAACCTTTCTAACGTAAATAGTTCATAACCATAATTAGTTGTTAGGGATGTATTACTGTTTATGTAAGCAGTTGCGGGAAGTTATATTTTGGAGTATAGATTTACGCCGCACCCAGCAATATTCCACATATATGGCGGCGGTCTGTATATAAACGAGTCTGGACAAGACAATGAAGTGATAAACAACATGAGCATCTATCTACACAACTGGGATACGATGACATATGAGCCTGACCACCTGATCCCGTTAGTCGCCTCTAACGACAAGCATGGGTTACTGAATATCAATTCTAACCCGGATCTTCACGGGTATGGTGCTGTTGGAGTTAAATGCAGGGCTTCCAACGTGAAGAGAGACGAAAGGTTCAGATGCCGTGGTCCAAGGGGTGCAGGCCCTGGTGGGTGGGGTGGGCCCTGGTAGGTGCTTCATATATTTCTTTCTCAGATATATTCCGATCTTTGTAACCCAGTTTGGCGTGAGACTTTTCAGTTTTGTCGTGAGATGAATAAAAACATCGTGAGTCACAAGCCAAAGGTGTGAGAGTTGGCAGGCATGCACATGTAATCCGAAATTATCCAGAACACTGTAGATTTAATCTAGCATTATATTGAATTATTCAGACCATATAAGTGGGCAAACATCTCTCATCTCGCATTACGTCACCACCAGCGGTTCCACGAACATACTTCTTTTCTCCCTGAATTTTCCATCCTAGGCCTATTTTGGATTCCTGTGCCGGACCTGGATGGTACACAGGACTAAACACCGGATAGTAAACCATTGAAATAAACGTAAATACAGTAGGAAATATATGCCATGACCGGATTTACGTATGTTTCCAGGGATTTCCCAACTTCGGGCATATATTTCATATGAATCTATACCTTTGAAACATATGCTCATCGTAAATTTTCGTATGCACAAGGACCTCGTTCATGTATGCCATGACCGGATTGTCAAGTATTTCCAAACATGAATTGCAAAACAGATACCCCAGTAAATACATGATCATACAGTATTTCCGATGCATTCCTTTGAATTGCAATGGGTGCTGACATTTCCGAGTTCGTTTTAAGTTTACTCAGGTTGGAAACATGTAAATTTACGTAGGTGGGGAAACACATGTAAAGGACAAGGTATGATAAAGGCCCTTATTGGACCACAAAATTTAATGATATTCAAAATTGTACAAAATGATAATTTTAGCATAAAAAAGGCTAAATTAATTGTTGAAGTTACCTCCAATTGCTTTTTTATGTTTTTAGTGCTGTTATTTTTCCTCTTTGAAGACCTCAAAGTTAACCTATTTTACAATATCTTCTAAAAACCTACATTTTCTGAGTGATAAAAAAGTATGAGCAAAATCATGACCCATCCCAATTTTTTCACCACACGTAAAGAGAGTAAATTAGAATGCACACCTAAAAAATTGTTGTTGGTCACGCTTTTGCTCATATCAAAATGTTAAAAAATGTAATTTTTTTCTGTTATATGAAATTGCCCCATGCAATATCTCAAAAATAAACATTGACGTAAAGTAATATCTTTAAAAACTATCCATCACATTTACACGACTATATCATGATTCATTATTATTTGGAATGTTTTTGGGCTCTAAAATGAACTTATCAAACATCTTTATTAAAATGTTCTATATCATAAGGGACTCGCAAGGCGGATGACTTTGATGTAAGCCAGGGATAGATTTTTGGAGACCCTGTTGATCACTGCTGGCAAAATAAGAAGACATCAGAAGAGTTTTCAGAATATGACCTGGCAGCATTCTAACGGTGAGAATCTTTGTAATTATGTTAGAATTTTATCATAGTTGTTATAGCATCTGTTTATCAAACACCTCTGAGTCACCTGTCACTGTCAAAATAACACTGTCATTCAACAGGATGTTGCCATGTATAAACATACACATTTTCCAAGAAACAATGTACCTTGATGTTTTCTATGATATATTATATTACATTTAACCAAAATGACTATACTTAACTGTATGAAAATTTTCTTCTTAGAATAAGAATATTGTATCAAGGTGCAGCAGATGATGAACACAAGCAGACGTCAAGTGACACATTGTTGTAAGGTGTAATATATAACCTTAAATAAACCGCAAGGATCTGAAGAATATGTAGCCTAGTGGTTACTGTGCTGGCCTGTCGTTTTTCTCTATTATCAGACATGCAGGTTCAATTCCTGTATTTTTTATTTCTTTCTTCTTTTTTTTACAAAGTTTGGTCATCCAATTTACAATGTTTAGCTTAACTTGTTCACATCAAATCCAAATATTATAATTTTTTTCTTAAGTTTGGTAATCTATGTTACACTGTTCAAACAAACTTTAATTAACATCATGTAAATCTTTTTTAAGCCTGAAGACACTGACCTTTCAACACTGTCTCGTTGCCTTTGTTCCCAACACAATAAAGAACATTGAGAAGGTAAGCATTGTTTCAAAATGTTATTGTGGTACCTTCTTTAAGTAAATATTTACAAATTGCCCATAGCTCTTAATCAGTGGTGTACTGATCAATCAAATAATTGGTTTATGGATTTTTTGTGGGCTGCCAGTCAATTACCGATATCCAAACCACATAACCAATTGAAGCATTCACTAGATTTTCTTAAAAATGTGTTCACAGAATCATTGACTATGGGTTTCAAAAGTCATATGGAAACTGAGGATTGATTACCTGTGTTTTCATGTGCTCTGACAGTTGTTTTTATCTTATATCTATAATTGATCGAAAAGTGGCCTCAATAATTGATTATGCTGTTGGAGGTCAATTCCCTTCCATATATAACTATTCTATTGACATATTTAGCATTAGAAAAGTTAGGAAGCACCAATTTCTTGAACATTATGATAATCCTTCTATAATTTCAAATATTTGGTTTCAGATAAGAGAAATAGTCTTGGATTGATTTCAGGAGTGTCATTTCATGAAGATGACAACTTAAAACTTGAGGTTGAAGGTAAGCATAATATGAGTTAAAAGATATGTTTCTAAATGTTTTTTAATTTAATTTTCGAATTTAATGTGACAGAAAATCAGAAAACCTGATGCTTCAGGGGTGATTAAATCTGCATAAACCTTCAAAGCTAGACTAATGACATTTGAAAAAAGAAATGTTACCCTTGAATAGATTATCACGGCTTTTTAAAACAGAATTTTCTATTGATATAAAGTCATCTGTATTTCAGTTGAGAGAAGATCTGGGACTGAGACAAGACTGCCCAAGAGTGATATTGAGATAGGTTTTGTGAAGATCATAAACAAGTACTTTAACAGCATGCTGAAGGTAAACTTCATACACCTTGTAAATGTTACAAATCTATTCAAATAACATTCAGATCTGGGTAATTCATGTATATTTCTACAAAGATTAATCATTCACAGAGTTAAAATACCAATATGGTTAAAACTCATTTACTTTGACAAAGGAATTCAACCTGGGTAGATAATAATTGAAGAAAATGATTGACTAAACTGAGTAAACACAATTTCCTGATAGCTTTTAAGTTTTTAAACACACTGTACAACATCCATAATGGCATATCATCAACATTATATGCTGCTGGTATAATAAATACCAAAATGTCCAATGATTTTGTGATTCTGCCCTTCCGACACAAAACCTATTGTGTTACTAATTTAAGTCCAAATAACATTTAGCTTTGTTTTGTTTTTTCAGATTGAAGATGAAATTTTCACAATGTGTGTGGTGTAAAAAGTGTAATATCAAGCCACATTTGAGAAGAAAGTTAACAGATGACACTTTCAGACAGCATTTAGAGAAAGAAATAAAACAGACAATTACTAAAGATTGTATTATATGTGAAAAATGTAGAACTCATGTCAGGAGGAAGATAAAATCAACAGAACCGGAAAACTCTGATCAGTCATTAATATATACGAGTCCTAAAAATATTGAACTAAAAATATCATCAACTTCATCAATTCATCGAGTTTGTACTGTTTGTAAGAAAGTGAGTTCAGCACGAAATCCATTTATTGTCATTCCGAATGATGCAAGAAATCAAGTTTTTATCTTTCAAGGTGTCATTATTCCTGCTGGAAATCGATGTTGTGTAAAGCATTTATCATGTAGACTTTTTACCAGGGAAGCACTCATTCAGGTTGAAGGAAAGAAAGATTAAACATGTTTCAACAGAACAGAAATTATTAACCTCCTTGCTACTGCCAGAAGTACCCTCACTAGATATGGGACTTTGAATTTTGATGACCCTGCATTTCTTAGTGATGATGAATATATTAAACTTACAGGCATCACAAGAGATCAATTTGATGATGTTGTGTCACATACACAGTCTTTGCGTGGCTTAAGTGTTAGATCAGTCAGAACATGTGTTGCACTAATTCTTGTAAACTCAGGACTGGACTGTCGAACAACCTTCTTGGTACCTTGTTTAAACTTACAAAGTCACAGGTACAGCGAGCAATTCATTGTGCAAGGGAATGTCTCATGTTACATTTTGTACCCAATAATTTAGGTTTTGGGCATATTCAAGATGATGAGTTTGTGCAAAATCATACCACTCCAGTTGCCAAAAAACTTTTCACCAATGACAAAGTCAGTGTTGCTATTCTTGTTTTGGATGGGACATATATCTACTTTCAGAAAGGGGCTGACCACCAATTTCAGAAGCTATCCTACAGCATGCATAAGCATAGACCTTTAGTTAAACCCATGATGGTAGTTGGCACCGATGGATATATTCTTAGTGTGCTTGGTCCACATGCAGCTAATGGGAAGAATAATATGCATCCATTACT